TGTGTGTGTGTGTGTGTGTGTGTGAGTGTGTGTGTGTGTGTGTGTGTGATCTTGATCTCTGTAATGTTCTCTTCACTCTCTCCTGACTGTCTCCAGATCTGTGTGTGTGTGTGTGTGTGTGAATGTGTGTGTGTGTGTGTGTGTGTATGTGTGAGTGTGTGTAAGTGTGTGTGTGTGTATGTGTGAGTGTGTGTGTGTGTGTGTGTGTGTTCTTGATCTCTGTAATGTTCTCTTCACTCTCTCCTGACTGTCTCCAGATCTGTGTGTGTGTGTGTGTGTGAATGTGTGTGTGTGTGTAAGTGTGAGTGTGTGTGTGTGTGTATGTGTAAGTGTGTGTGTGTGAGTGTGTGTGTGTGTGTGTGTGTGTGTGATCTTGATCTCTGTAATGTTCTCTTCACTCTCTCCTGACTGTCTCCAGATCTGTGCGTTTCTCTCTCTCTGCAGACCTTTATCTTTCAGTGTCCCAGACAGGACAGGTAGACACAGGTACTGCAGAACACACACGCCAGCACTGTCACACAGGTGTGTGTCTGAGGACCAGCATTCACCTGCACTACACACACACACACACACACACACACACACACACACACACACACACACACTGTTCTCAGATCAGCTGAGGGATGCTGGTCCTCACGCTCACAGGCTAGAAAGAGCAGATGTGTGTGTGAGTATTGTGTACATCACTGTAGACAGCAATAGAGCCCTAGAGCACACACACACACACACACACACACACACACACACACACACACACATACTGTGGTAAGTAGTTCTCTCATCTGTCCTGTTCAGTGTGTGTCCCATCATGCATTGCTCCAGCTGAATACGCGGCAGGTAAACACTGACTGAACACTGTCTGCACTGCTCTGCTGTTGAACACACACACACACACACACACACGCTCACACGCTCAGAGTCTCTGTTGGACTGTTAGTCTGTGGTCGGTCAGTCAGTTGGTGTTTACCTGTGCAGTGTTTGTTGTCAGTGTGTGTGTGTGTGTGTGTGTGTGTGGATGTTGTGCGATCACACAAACCCTGCTGTGATGTAGACCCCCGCAGAGCCCTGAACACACACCGCCTGCAGCACACACCTCAATCCACACACCGCATCTGTGCCTAATTGGATTTGATCAGTGGCCTAAGCTGGGTTAACACAGTGATCATTTAATGACGTGTGTGTGTGTGTGTGTGTGTGTGTGTGTGTGTGTGTGTGTGTGTGTGTGTGTGTGTGTGCGCGCGGTCTGCAGGGTTTGTGTTTCCTCTGTTTCTGCTTCTGTGTGTGTGTCTGCTGAATGCTGCATGTGCAGAGCTGTGAGTGTCTGTCTGAGTGTGTATGTGTGTTTAACCATGTGTGTGTGTGTGTGTGTGTGTGTGTGCAGGCCGGGATCGCTGGAGCTCCAGCACGCGCCGTATCGGCCGTCAAGAACATGAACCTCCCAGAGATGCCCAAAAACATCAACATCGGGGACATCAGCATCAAAGTGCCAAACCTGCCGTCTTTTAAATAGTAAACACTGCGGTGTGTGTGTGTGTGTGTGTGTGTGTGTGTTTACTAGGCCGTGTGTTACTGCACAGATGACGAAGGCACTGTGTGATGACTGTAAATGAAGTATTTATTTGATTCTTCTGTCCCCTGTGTGTGTCTCACTCACTGCAGTGTTGGAGGTGTGTGTGAGTGTGTGTGTGTGTGTGTGCGCGTGCGTGTGTGTGTGTGTGTGAGGCGCTCTGAACATCATGCCTATCAAACATTCCAGACTGGAAAGCTCTCCCTGATGCTGTACGTGTGTGTCTGATGTCGCTGTATGTACTGAAGGTATATTTATATATGGTTTGTCCTCTTTCTTACGCCGGCCGCTTCGCTTTGGTTTTTAAGTGCCGCATGTTTTTCCTTTTGCAGCAGAATAAAGTATCAAATTATTTTCTTCTCCAAGTCTGTCGTCTGCTGTTTGATCAATATCTACAAACTCCGAAATCAGGAAGCATCTTGTAGACGAGCAGAAATACAGTGCTGTGTTCAGAAATACTGAGTGAAGAGAACGTCCATTAAACAAGCAGAATAACCTGACCATGAGGAGAATAACCTGACCATGAGGAGAATAACCTGACCATGAGGAGAATAACCTGACCATGAGGAGAATAACCTGACCATGAGGAGAATAACCTGACCATGAGCAGAATAACCTGACCATGAGCAGAATAACCTGACCATGAGGAGAATAACCTGACCATGAGGAGAATAACCTGACCATGAGGAGAATAACCTGACCATGAGGAGAATAACCTGACCATGAGGAGCAGAATAATCTGACCATGAGGAGAATAATCTGACCATGAGGAGAATAACCTGACCATGAGGAGAATAATCTGACCATGAGGAGAATAACCTGACCATGAGGAGAATAACCTGACCATGAGGAGAATAACCTGACCATGAGGAGAATAACCTGACCATGAGGAGAATAACCTGACCATGAGGAGAATAATCTGACCATGAGGAGCAGAATAACCTGACCATGAAGAGAATAACCTGACCATGAGGAGAATAACCTGACCATGAGGAGCAGAATAATCTGACCATGAGGAGAATAACCTGACCATGAGGAGAATAACCTGACCATGAGGAGAATAACCTGACCATGAGGAGAATAACCTGACCATGAGGAGAATAATCTGACCATGAGGAGAATAATCTGACCATGAGGAGCAGAATAATCTGACCATGAGCAGAATAATCTGACCATGAGCAGAATAACCTGACCATGAGCAGAATAACCTGACCATGAGGAGCAGAATAATCTAGCTCTTCTGTTAGACATGATTAATTAGACTCTGTTAGACATGTTTTTAATTAAAGTCATCAGAATATTGAATGTAATTTCCTTTCTTTATTAAAACATCATTGTTGATTAGTAATATAGATGGCCATGAGAGCAGCGTGGCCAGGGTTTCTCTACATTTAGATTGAGAACTCTACTAGTTTTATCTTGATCAAATGTTGTGCTGATATTACCAACTATACATCAATAAAAGCTTATTCAGTTTCCAAATGACACACACTCACC